TACAAAAACCACTGCAACTGCGGATGTGCAATTTTATAACCATTATTTTATCAAAATAAACAGCATCGACTAAATTGTGGTCATTTACCATGATACAAATTTAAAATCCCCCAAGATCGGCAACAGATAAATTAATAATCCAGTCTGTAGCAAACTATATAAACTGCATGCCTATATTTCTAATATATGCAGAAACATCTCAGTAATTTAATTAATAACTTTCTAATAAGTAATTACAAATCATTTTAAAATAGTTACTTATGTGTAAATCATTAAAGAATGAAACGCCTACGTCTTCTCTTAGAAAAAGTAGAGTTGGACGATAAAGTTGGATCATAGAGTCCCCCGAATGAAAAACAGTTCCATGATACCAACTGTTCAAAAATTTAACTTCAAAATCACGATCAGTATAATAAATAGTTTTTAGCTGTGCAAGATGAAACGTTAGGTCCGTTTCAACACGCTCAAAAACCATAATATTACCGTATAATTAATGCGTTGTATTCAATTTTTGGGTAGAGCGCATGATTTGTACGGTAATATTACGGTTTTCGCGCGTGTTGCAACAAACCTTTAAGACTGCATAATTTGAATCTGAATAACTCTGGACACTGGTAACTGAAGCTATCTATACTATCTTAAAAGAAATCAGTGACTAACTACTCAGTTTCAAGTCTAAGACTGGCCAAACCAGTGATCGACTTGGCAATGGAAATCTCATTGCAAATATCACTAATTTACAGTGGTTTTTACCGATTCATTTTAAGAGTATCTTTCTAATGATAATCTGTGATAGAGGTATCGTTATTTTTTAATCAAGAACATTAAATCGCACATTTCTAAGGGGGAAGCACAGGGCATTCTGGATGTGGTCCTGCTTAGCCCAAGGTCTGTCAACCCCCAAAGATTGTATCGATTTATATTATCCTGTCACTTCATCTCTGTCACCAAATATTATTAAAATGAGTTCAGAATACAAAAGTTACTTGAAATGTAAAATGTAGAATTCAAACTGTAGTTTTTAATAATGTAAATAATATTACGAAAACAAATATCAACTAGAATGCAGATATATATACTCTTCATAGTTTAACAGACCCCCCTTTACCCCAATTATATATATTTTTGAATCAATAGGCTTTATTCCCTTATTAAGCGTCATTTCATTGAAAAAAACGTTTTTTGGATTTTTTTTTATTTCAACCCCCCCCCCTTAACCTCCCATTTTATTCAGATATTTATTAAAATCAATAAGCTTTGTCCCGTTATAGAGCTTGATTTTGCTAAAAATTATTTTTCGTTTCTAAGTTAGGATTTTTTTAAATATTTTAACCCCCCTTTTACTCCCCATTTTTATTTAGATTTTTTTGCAATCAATAGGCTTCATCGCCTTATAGAGCTTGATTTTTTTACTAAAAATGTCATGTTGATATCGCTTTTCGTTTTTAATTTTTGATTTCAACTCCCTTAACCCCCCATTTTTAATCAGATTTTTTTAAAAATCAATAAGCTTCGTCCCCTGTCATAGCTTGATTTTGCTAAAATCATTTTTCGTTCTTGAGTTAAGATTTTTTTTTAATATTTTAACCCTCACCTACCCCTTCATTATTTTTTTTTACATTCTGTAGAATATTCCCAAAGGAATATTTCTCTATATTGATGAATACCGATACACAAACATTAAAAAAAATATAAAAAGTAAAACCTGTTTTGTCGTTTTACACTTACTAGGCTAAACTCTATTTTTTATAGATAAGGTTTTTTTGCATTTTAGATTCTATTTTTAAAATAAAAATTTTAGCACTTGCGATACCATACCGGCATACAACATACATTGAAATAAAGCTACAGTAGAAGCTGCTCAAATTGATAACAAGTTTGATAGGTGAAACAATCGGTTAGGGATGTCCCCGATATATTGTTTATTTTATGCTTTTAAAAAGTTCTGTTAACCCCATTAAAAATAGCGACAGTTTTTTTTTTAATATCCTTTAAGAATTTTACTTGAAAATTATTGACAGTGACCACGTCTACTTCCTTTTAATTTAATTCACATGATTTCTATCTACAACTAAAGAATTATACACAAAAATGTTTCTAAATAGTAGACCGTGCCCTACAAAGATAGAGATACGAGTCATGACCGTGATAACTACGTACGGTCCTGAATTAAATCCAAACGTACACTTAAAAGGAAAAAAAATTGTGTGCTTTGACATGCGTAATTTTTTTCAATGCTTACTCTGGAAACAAATTTTTGTGGATAACTCCAAATTCCAAAGTTCTTCCATTAAAAACATGTATAGAATAATTATTAATTTATTTAGTATATCACCTTGTAGTTATTGAAATATTATAATACCTAACAGTCACTTAAAAATACTGCCTGTCACATTAATACTTATAAAAACACATTGGCTTGCATTTTACTGATGTTACCTAAAAAAAATAGTTTGTTTAATCATTAGAAACGATAAATCCAATAGATTAACAAAAGTTATTATAAAAATATATCCCATTTGCAACTCACTCTGTAGAGTGTAGAGGAAAACATTTTTTGACACCTGTATATATTTGAGAAATTTCAAAAGATGGTACAGTTCATTATAATTGGAATAACTAGTAACAAATGGGTGGTATTTCTTAAGTTTAAGACCCTGTATCTTAAAAACCAGTCATAAGATTTGAATGGTCGACAAGAGGTCGAGAAATACAACATATAAAAAAAAATTGACAGGTCGCTACTCTTCCGTAAGAGGTTCTTTAAGGAAGAATACTTACACATTGCGTCTAGACATGGGACGAAATTAAAAAAAAAAAATACCAAAACAGCTGAACTATTAAATCAGTGATGCATAAATGTATTTTAAATGCCCTTTTTGTGACTCATGCAATTCATGTGTAATGTTGGATGTTACATTTGACTGATTTAAGGTCATTCCACCGGATATCTTGATACAACAAAATTAAAATACAGGTAGATAGAGATACCTTCGATGATTCTCTTTGATGTGGTAAAATTACAGTTTTCTGTAAAGATTTCGACATACCTCGAGTTGCGGTGCTAAGTAAGTTACCGGGTTATTTTTGTTGATTTTTAGTAATATAATGTGTCAGTATTGTATGTATATTTATGCACATACATTCCTTTGTTTTCAAATAAATTAAACAGTTATGTTTTTGTTTATATCTAGACTATTTCCACTTTTAAATAAGAAATTTCTAATGTGTACAATACATTGATTTTTCTTATAATCAAAAAATGTTTTGGAATAGGAATTAGAGTTAAAAAAATCACACACATTTTATTCGAAACATTTTTCGTATCATCATTGCTAACGAAAGTATTGAGAAAATTTCTATTTATTTAAAATATTTTTCCATGTAGCTTGTGCGAGACGAAGAAGGGAATATTAATAGATTGAATCGGCCAATAAATTCACTTTTTAATCATTTGATAGATGAAGAAAGAAAATAAAAATATCTCAATGATTGTATTAATTTGTTAATATTACACATGACGCGAATGATGATGTTGGTTTTTGCTCTGTTACCCTAAAACAATAACTTAGTAATATTGCGTGCTCCTTGGTTTACGTATATAACTAATAAGATGTTTAGGTTCATATTTTTTGCAAAATAAAATTAATAGTGACGTTAATAAATTGAATCATTAGGGTCATTATACAAATGATGCATAATTGGAAATTTGAAATGTAGTTTTCTATTTTTATAACTATATATGGATATAAATAGACAATTTTATATTGCCTTACTAATAATATACCCTGATCTATTCCTATAATAACAATTTTATAAAAAAATTGTAGGTTAGTCAGTAATGATTAGTTACAATATTTTATTTTTTTATATAAAATTAAGTTGTATGTTCCTGCGATATACTTATACTCCGGAATTTGATACTCCATTGTTTTGAGGGATACAAACAAAAGTTTTAAATACAAATTCTAAGTCATAAAGTCACAGCATACCAAAGTTATGTTTTTTTAGTAGATCACCCTATATGTTATCTCGAATTTAAGTTTTGCTCATTTTCCCCATTTCTACAATTGGAATAAAATTAATAACATTTCTGGTTTAAAACAAATTCTCTCGAATCTAATACCTACCCAATCGATTTCGCAAGAAATCTTAAACATTCTTTCCCCTCATTCCCTGGAAAATGTGTGCCAAATCAATAGCTCAATTCATTCAGAATATCCCTTTACCTACTCTTAATGAATACTTAAGTGTGTTAAATTTGAAACGAGACTCTTTTCCAGGCTTAGACCTTATTTCATACTCTATGCTAAAAAATTTACCTCGTTCAGGTTCCTTGTTTCTTCCGAGTATCTTTAATAAGTGTCTTTTAACAGGTTCAATTCCTCAACAATGGAATCAATCCTTAATTCTACCTATAATTAAGCCAAATAAGGATAAAATGGTAGCTTCAAATTATAGGCCTATTTCTCTTTCTTCTTGCGTAGGCAAAGTATTAGAATCCGTAATCAAAAATCTACTTGAATGGCATTTGGACATCACTTGAGGTTTATTCAACATAATTTTAGCCCAATTAAAGATTCCAAATTATTAGTTAACTTGAACACAAAATTTTTTAACTCAGATTTTCACGAAAATGTTAAAATTACAAAAGATTCTTCAAATAGTACCAGGAAGATTGCACTGCGGCTAAACATCAGCCCAAAAACCGTTTGGAAAGTTCTAAAAAGGAATCTCCTGTACCCATATCACATACAAGCGGATCCAAGCTCTACTGCCTCAGGATTTTCACCCCAGATTAATATTTTGCAGATGGCTGATTCATGCGATGGCACACAATTTTAATTTTTCAACAAACATTTTATTTTTGATGAAAATCTCCACGTTATTAGAGAAAGACAGTTTCAATTATTGAATTTTCTTACCGATGTTAAGAAATATTAAGAAAAATCTTCACGTTCAAAATAAAAAAAATAAATAAATTTCCAATAATTTGTGACTTACCTGATATCACACACCGGATGTATCCTTCTGTGTCTCCACCGCAACACCCACGGCACCGTTTTGTCTTTCACATTATTTACACTGTCATTTTTGTCTTTTAACACTTTCGTCTTCATCTGCTTGTAATCCACGTTTCGATTAATTTTCTTCCGATCGATTTTCATCATTTTCAACTGATTCAAGCATTTCCAGTACCTGCGTAAAGTCGAATCGTTAATATCACAATAAATAATCATACTGCTAAAGCTTTTTGTAATAGGTTTTCAACAGAGAGCGATTTCTCTTGGATAAACTTAATTCTGCAATAGACAGGAACTACAGTGGATGAATTATTCGAAAATTTCGAAATATAACGATCAGGTAATGTAAATTGACGTAAAAAATAATGAAATTCCGAAGGTTTGGGTCATCTCAAGTGTGCAAAAATCGGAAGACCAGCACACAGCTGTTTATTATTATCATCGTACTTAGAATTAGTAATTATTTACCTATACTTAACTACAAGAGAAAACAAACAGATTTTGTGTACAGGGTCAACAAACGTAATTATTAAAAAAAAATTATGGTATTTTTTTGATTTGTGGTAAGTAGTTTCTTAGTAAGTGTTTATAAAGCGGAACATCAAATAAAAAAGGTCTAAAATTAGAATCTAGAATTCCCGTTTCTTTAGTTGTATATAACTAATTAAATATAAACCAGTAATTTCTATACTTAAAATTGTACATATTAAATGGCGCTCATCAACGTGGGGCTTTAGAAAACTATAGATTTAAATTGAAATCGGAATCAGAAATCAAAATTAAGGGCAAATTAATAAGAATATGAGACAGAATAGTAAAGAAGATGGAAGAAAAATAAGAATATGGATGAAAACAGTAAGGAAATGGATGAAAACTGTGAGAAAATGGAAAATAAGATAGGAGAACAGATTAAACAGAATGAGGATGCAATGAATAACAAGATGGACAATATAAAAGAAGAAATACAAGAATTAAGACAAGATAAAGAAACAATAGTTAGGAAAATAGAAAAAATTATAGATAATATTAAAGAAATAAAGAAAATAAAAGGAGACAAAAGAAAATTAGATAAATGTAAAGAAAATTAAAATGAATTTATAGAAATAAATATAACAAAAAAAATAAATTAATTTCTCCCCTTATTGAGGTTGAACTTTGGTTGAAAATTTGTGGATACCTTATACTTACTCTTTCAAATAATTATTCCTGACATCATTGACGTTTTCTTCGATAATTCCGCATCTTTCGATGCATTTTTCGAAATTTCTTCTAGCGCTTTGACCCCTCTTGAAGATGGGCCTTTGTTGACTGTTGACGCGTCTGCGCGAAACGCTGCTTCTTTGGAAAGCGGTTTCGTCTTGAGAATCAATTTCTAGTAGGCGAATGGCTTCGATGCCGCGAGCCAGACAAAACATTTCTTGGTACATCCTTCTAGAGAGAAATAAAATTATATTTTACCATTTTTAATGATTATATTTATTATTGTTATTCATTTTTATTTTCATCTAAGTTACCTTGATCAACAAATTATAATGATTATTTAAGGTGGCAGTTTAAATTTAACCTATTTAAACTACGTTATCCAAAGTTATAGAAAACATTTTAAAAACCAGAATTGTAAAATTTTTATACAAATTCTAGATTATTTCAAAAAATCAGTATGGCTTTAGAGAGGGTAAATCAACGGAAGATGTTATAAGTGTTTTAACAAAATCCATTTATAAAGCTATAGATTCAAAAACACCAGCATTATGCATATTCGTTGACCTCTCAAAAGCTTTTGACACGGTATCGCATAATATATTACTCCAAAAACTTAAATGTTATGGATTTAGGGGAAGAATTTTTCGACTTATAGAAAGTCATTTGAATGATCGAAATCAACAGGTTTATCTTGATGGTGCCATATGAGAGCTGTAACCTTTGGTGTTCCGCAAGGCACCTTTCTTGGACCTTTATTATTCACTATATAATATATGTAAACAGTTTATTGACAATGAACATAAAAGGTGCCATTACGAGCTTTGCTGATGACACCGCAATATTTTATAAAGGAGACACTTGGGAAAACCTAAAAGTTATGGTAGAAGCTGATTTTTCTATTATTAAAAGGTGGCTTGCATATAACAAACTCACTCTGAATGTAGAAAAAACTAGTTACATGCCGTTTACTTCCTATTCAAGTAACTTGCCTGACCTGGGAAATTTGATAATCGACCAAACAACGCAGATTCCTGAATCAGGGCACATTAAATACTTAGGAATTGTCATCGATAAACATCTGCGCTAGGATATACCTTTTTTAGTTGTTAAAACCGAAATAGGTATGGTTGGCACGGAACTATTTTAGAAAATGCAAATAATACTTAATAGGTTTTTCCTTTGCATTGAAAGTGTAGCACTGAGCTACGCCACTTCTGAAAACATTGTTCCATTCATACAAATTATATGGATGGAACGTTTTAATACATCAACCAATGATAATCATCTTTTATTTTGTTTTAGGTGACTTCCAAAGTACGGGTAAGTTTTAAACACCTTTTACACTAGGATTGTACGACAAAGGCAGATATACACTTAGAACAATAGAGTCAGACAAAGTGTAGCAATGGAAAAGCAATAAGCGATTACCTGACGGTAGATTACCCCTTTTAATTAGAGTTGCCACCTGTCATTTTTGGAAAAGAACAGTCCTTTTTTGAAGCAAAATATCTTTGTGATTTTTGAAAGCTTAAAATGTCCTTTTTTTAAGGCAAATATCTTTTTTTACAGCACATATCTTTGGAGAGGACAAAAATATATAAGCTGAGGACCTTTTTTTTTTTAGAAGCTCTAATTAATGTTTCTTTTTTATTGATAGCATAAGGCCTACTACTTTTCGATGCTTAAAATTCTTTTTTTTCCAGTTTAAAAATTGTTTTCGATGTAAAACGGTGTACTGATTGGTCGCCAAATTTAAACATTATTGTTTTGTTAATTTTAATGCATACTATTTAACGAATCGTAGACTTTTTGAGCAAAAGAAAGCCTATTATATACCAGATTTCACATAAATATTTAGCAAATTCAAATTGTACAACATTTCTACCTTTTTTCAAAAATGCGTTCAACAGTACAACCACATCACTGATTGTACAACTTTTTGTACAATTGTACAACCAGGAACAACACTGAACATACTTACCTATATATGTATATATTTTTTAAAGTACAAAAACGCAACTTACTTGCTTTTAACTGAAAGTTCAGCAAAAATACACTTAAAAACTATTCAGCAACACCACCAGCTCGATCACAATTAAATAGAAAAATCACTGCGTAAACACTTGCCGAAGAACAACCAGTACTTGTTACAATACTGGGCATGGCTAGTGTTTATTATCATCAGCGTTGGGACACACAAAGGTACTTCCGTTAGGCACGACTCTTTAATCTTTTTTTTTAACAATGCATGTAAAATAGAAAATAGAGCGCTGAATTGGAGTCCGATGGGCAGGAAGAATGGCCTTGTACTTCGCGTAGGTACATGGATGATACGACGTGCTTCGCTGTTACACCGCGCGCCGTATGTGCTTACTATGTAGACAAAAATTTAAATATAGTATTCCAAAAAAGTATATAATACAATGAAAAGGCTAATATGACTAATTAAAATAATCATAATATTATTAGATATGAAAAAATTTGTTATAATAATAACACCCAGTAAAGCGAGAAATTTGTAAGTTTAAAATGTCAAAATGAAAGATAATTTGGGAATGTTAGTTTGATTGGTAGTTAGGTAAATACTTATAAGAAAATAAGTGTCCAGTTTCAAATACAGGCATGGATTATAAAGTCTTCATAGGTATGACAAAAGTAAAATAATTTCAAATAATGTCCTATATTTCACGAGAAGAAATCATAGATTTCAAGTAATGGTGGCCCAAATTTTATAAAAAAATGTTATATCTCTGGAAACTTTAAACAAAAAAATCCCCAGGGCACAAAAGCAACCCTTTTTTGTATCTGTATCAGAAACTCCTGGATATGTCATGTTCTCAGAATTTATTGGAGGTCAGACGAACCATACTTTTAAGATACATATGTCAAAAAAAAAGAGTTCCGGTTAAAATGCCTGAAAAAAATCTCCATAAAGAGAAAGTTTCAATATTGGAAACAAAAATAACGGATATCAGTAAAGCGATGTCATACACAAAGCACGTATCTTCTAGAGACCCCACGCCAATGTTAAACTTTTAAAACAAATTAGCGCCACCTTGTGTTTGGAGCTGGAACTAAAATGACAATTGACAGATGGCGGTAAATTCAAATTGTAATTTTTGGGAGTAGGTAGTAGTTTTAAATTAAATTTTAAATGATTTCCACATAAATTATTTTATAAAATAAAGTATGGAACTAGTAAGTTCGAAACTTTTATTTTACAAAATAATTTAGGTCGATTATACCAAATTTGAGGAATTAATTTGTTATAAGCAGGGATCTGATGTGGAGAGTTGGTTCTGCATATTATTATTAAATAAATATAAAATATATCAATAAATAATAAAATAGAACATTCTTAAAATATGTTTATTAATAACTTAAATAAATATTATTAGATAAAAATAAATACAAATAATAATACATATTTAACGAATAATTACTTGCAGCAAATAGGTATACAATCTCAAATCTTTAAAATACCTATCAATAATTTAAATGTGAAGTAGAGACTAGGATATTACATTTTATTAACACTAAAATAATATATTTTATAAATGTCTTTTAAACCGAGGACAAATGTAATATAGGTATTGTATTAAAAGGTGAATTCTTTTAACTATTCATTCAATGATAAATAGGTATTTGCCTTCCAAATACAGATAGTGGTATTACTCCACTGCTTTCTGTATTACTCTCTTATGTGAAAAATGATTTCGGAATCTAGTCCAGTGATAAATTGATTATCAATTAGTTGTTATACCCGTTTGTCTTTTTATGATGCAGATGCATGGTGAATCAATAAGTTTTTCTCGAAGTTTTCAACGTAGCACCCACAGGTAGCACCAAAATTATTGCAAAACAGTAGGAAATAGAAAAGCGAAACATCACAATTTTGCAAATAACTAAGACGAAACTATAAACAGAAACCAAAAGCCAAAGCCAACAAAAAAATCACTAAAATCAGACGGAAAAATGAGACTAACCAAAAACAAATAAATACACCTCACATCTTTGGAGTCTTTGGTTAAGTTTTTCTCCCATAAATGGAGTAAGAAATCAGAATTTCACCAGTAGCACCATCTAGAGTTTGGAGCAAATAGCATAAAAAATGTGAGTTGTCGGTTTTGACCTTGGTCATTCACGTGGAACCTCTATGTGCTTTGTGATGTCATACGTTCCAGAGGAATATCACCCATTCTATCAATAAATTTTGGAATGGCCTACAAAAGTTTCCAAAAAAAAAAGCGATTGCATTACAAGCTTAATACAAATTATGTTACAGTTTTCAATAAATCTTTAATGTTTAAACATTATTATTGTTTTTATTAGGGTCATTCTTAGAAAAACAACCCACTGTTTAATATTTCAGTGATAACGCCAAGTTGATCCCTTAAAAAAATTATATTTTCCATTTATTTGAGAAAGATACTAACTGCATTCTTTTGTAATCTAATTTTTTTCGTTATTATAAAAAAAATACCTCTTTTAACATAAAAAAACATCTAAGCAACTCTATCTTGAACTAATTATGTTAATAAAATAGCATTATCACATTTTATTAAACTACAAATAAGTTTCTACTTATTTTCTCAAAAGTAACAAAATGTTAGTCAATGCCTTCCTGAAATAAACGATTCAATAATGGTACATTTTTGTCTTTATTAAATTTTGTCCACCTATAACACATCTAGTTTTTCTTCGGTGGATTTGGTTGCGGTGTCAATGACTTTCTTTTATCTAGTTAAGCCCCAGTTGATACGTTAAAAGTAGAACTTTGCCACACTTAAGTTCCATTCCATGTCGAACAAGAAATTTTATGCAAAACGAAAACAAAGACCCTAAGCCTTTGAAGTTCATCGCGGCGTGGGCCAATGAAAATGAAATTGAAATAATATAATAAGCGAAGTAAAAAAGATAAACAAAGCATTATTTATTCCGTGGGTACGATAATGAATGATATTTTACATAAAGGCTGAGAAGTGGATCATGTCAAAGTAGGAGACATATTTGTATTACCTACATTTGGTTTAAAAACTCGTTTCACAAATATTTCCTCGTTACATAAAATAAGGCATCTCGAAACTGGTTGCACAAATAGTTATTTTTTCAGAATTTTTTCCTAATTATTTTAAATATGAATCAAAAAATAATAAAAAGTTAATGACCCATAGAGCACAAACACATTTCAGAAATATTTCAAAAATATTAAATTGAAACAAATATTA